GTGCAGATAGTGGAGCGGTTGGATGCCTCCCTGCCCAGGCAGCAAATGCATTGGCTGAGGTTGAGGGCGTTTCTGCTGCTGCAGTTGTTTTCTGTCCTGGATTTTGTTGGATCTGGAGCCTCTTAATTGCCTTGTCTGTAATCAAAACACAGCTTGTGTAATTCATGCAGAGGGACCTGAGGGTGCTGGTGGCCTCGGCCGGCCGAGGGGACCCGTGGTGGCCCACGCTGCCCCTGCTGACCCCTGCTCACACGGACGGGGCTTGTTAATGAGCAGCAGAAAGATTGTGTCGATTCGTGACAAATCGGTCCCAAAACCATGCGGGAACATCTGTCCCTGTGCAGCACATAATGCAGCATCTTGACATTCATACATGTGGTTTAGAGTTTCTTCTTAATGACCCGTGTACCTCGTCGTACCCAAACCTCCATCCGTTCAGATCATCCGTTTGGATACAGCTCAGCCAGGACATTCCTATTTAAACCCACCCAGTGGCACAGGATCCCAGAGAAAACAGCAAAACGTACCCTGAATAATTTTTATCTTTTTTTTCTTTTTCTGACAGTTCACTGCTAATGTTTTGTTAGCAGAAAACAAGCAACAAGACCCAAAACAAATGTTTTTAATCACACCTCGATATTCAGACAAACTGTGGTTTAATAGCTGAACAGCTTAATGCTTAATGGACTTGCCTGTTAAATATGAATCTCCTGGTTACCTGGGTTGGCTTAGGAATATGTTTACAGTATGAGTGTGTTTTGTTTCCACCTGAAGCACAGGGAAGTAGTGAAACGACCGGAGCGATCCACAGAGGTAGAAATTCCTTTGCGCTGACTCTGCTGCCTTTTGTCCCCCCCAGATGGGCCTCAGCAGCATGAAGAAATGTCAGTTTGAATCTGTAATCAGAAAGGTTTGTAAAATGCATTGTTTCCTAAGTCTTTGGAGCCACTCTAGCTAGCTAGTTAAATATTTATTCACCCCTGGAACAACAGGTTTGAACCTCTGTCGGCTCCGTTTCTCCCCCATCCAGGGCGGATTAGTTAGGCGTTGCACTGTTTGTCATCTTTGGGACGGGGATTTTAGAAGTCCTGTCCTCCCAGACCCGGTGGATGGGTTTGGTGGCGGTGCTGAACAGCTTTGCTGTGGTGCCAGCGCTGGAGCACGTTTTCCTGCAGCAACTTTGACGATACGGCGTGGTGGCTTCTGCCCCTGCCCCAGAATAACTGTTCCCTTGTCTCTAACTAGGATCTCTGAAGTTCCCTTTTGACTTTCTTCTCTTTTTTCCCTGTGCCCAGGGGGAGGCACTGCACTGTCCTCAGCCTGAGGTCCCCAGCGTTGACCAGAGGCCGTGGCTATGTCTAAGCCGTGCCTCCTGGGACCGGCGTGCTCGGTGTGTGCCACAAAGTGCCATCTCATTGCAAAGAGGCAGGTCTGCATGGCAGTTACTGAGTCTACAAACCTCGATAACGAAGGGGTAATGAGGTGCACTTGGTCAGCACAAACCTATTCATAGAATCACAGGATGGTTTGGGTTGAAGGGACCTTAAAGCCCATCCAGTTCCAACCCCCCTGCCACGGGCAGGGACACCTTCCACTAGACCAGGTTGCTCCAAGCCTCATCCAGCCTGGCCTTGGACACTCCTAGGGATGGGGCATCCACAGCTTCTCTGGGCAGAGAGAAGTTCAGTGTTGTCCTGTAGTGAAAGCATAATGTGGCAGCACAAAAAACCCAAACAGAACCCCCTGCTGACCCATCCGGAGCCACACAACCTGAATGCTGTAGTACTTGTTACCAGAAGCAGGGTGGAGATACGCCGGAGAGGTTTCCACACGATTTTTAGGTGCTTATTGGAAAAAACGAGGTGCTTTCTAGCATGCAGACTTTGATAATGTCAAGACAGCGTCTGTTCAGGATCTTGTGTAACGAGGTTTTGCACAAAATAGTGATTGACAGTTTCTGATCTTGAGTGCTTAATGGAAAGAAAGACGTTGCCTTGGCTGCTTGGCTTTCTTCAAGCTGTCTTTTAGACATCAAAAGCTCGTAGAACAGGAAAAAGAGAAACGTTAAGAACAGTTTAAAAATAGTTTAATTGTATCTTCTAAAAACCTGTAGAGTTGAGGATTTAAGCAGTTTCTGCCCTGTGAATATTTGCAGCTGGGTTCGAAATGTGTAAATAAGCATAGGGCTTTGAAGATTAGTTTCCATAACAAATTAGGAGAAAAAAGTGGCGTGGCCTAATGTTAAATAACTGCCGTGTGTCACGGGGTGTTTTGCATGAGGGCCAACTTCACCAAATCACCTGTCTGCTCCACTGACTCCTTGAGAAACTAATGTTCTTTGAATATTTTAAATTTTGTCGTTCTTAGGCAGGAAACATTCCCGGGAAAACACCCTTTTGCAGGAAGCGCTGATGATGAACACTGCGGCTTGCGCTGCCAGCGCTGATCCTCCTCCTTGCACAAACCATTCCTGGGTGCGTTTGCTGCAGCCGGTGACTTCCCAGCGGGATCCTAACCCCGCTGCCGGGAGGCGTGCGCTGCAGCGGGCGCCGGTACTAGGGAGCGTAGAAGTCCTTGCAGGCCACGGTGTGCTCCCTTAGGAGCATGGGGAGATGTGTGAGCAAGAGCCCAGGCTCTTTTTCACCCATAAACCTCGATACTTTAGGCTGGAATTAGTAAGTTTGATAGTGTTTTGGACTGAATTCTAGAATTTTCTACCTGTGTTTTTCTGTGGGCGATATTTCTAATGAGCTCCAGCCATGGCATATGTTGCTAGACTGTGCTCAGTCTGTGGCCTGGTCAGGAATGTATAACCACGCTCTTAAAACAAGCTTCTCATTTCATATTTAATACAAGGTGTCATCTGCAAGTTGCTTCTGTTTGGCTGTCGCATTTCAGACAGTGACTGCGTGTGGCAGGTTCACAGGAAAAGACCTGTTGCTAGAAAAGGGCAAAAAGTTGGTCAGTATGAAAGAAAAGGAATTTGAAATACACTCCTGTGTTTCGTGTGCGTGGATGAACCTTGGGGGAGGCACAGAGAAATTACCTGCAGTGAGTGACTGACACGGAAGCACTACGACACATGCGATTAAACTGACCTTGTGACAGAACTTCAGCCTTACCCATTTCGTGTTTGTTCAAAGGATTTATCAGGCTGGAGCAAACCAGGGGTCGCTCATCTTTACGATCCCGTCTCCTGCAGCTACTGCTGCTTATTCCAAGAATGGCATTAAAAGCTTTAACACACTTAATTCTGCAATCCTTTAACGTGGGGCGGAGCGCGGCGGGGGGGGATTTTCTTCCTAACTCAGCTGGGATTTGATCATCAGAACGCCGGTAGCATCCTGTGCTGCGGATCTGCACGCTGCTCAATCGGTTGAACAAAACCAGACCGCCTTCCTCTGTTGGTCTGTGCACGCGCCTTACCCCAAAATTAAAGATATGGTTTTAGCCCCTGAATATCGGTGGGTCTGGGACCTGCCAGGTAAAGCCCTTTCTGCATCACCGCTGACTATTGGACAGAAAGCGTGGGACATTTTGAGGCAGATGGTGTCATTTCAGTGTGAAGGTACTTGGCCTGGCCAGGGCAGGTCACGGGAGGGCTCGCCTCTGTCTTCCTTCACCGAAGGCACTTGGGCAGGACATCGGAAGCTGCTCAGATGTGCCCTCAGACAGACCCCTCCTGTTTGGTGAGAAGGTGGTAATGTCTTCATTGGCTTCTTGGCAATGCACAGCTGTCACCCAAAGCCATATGTCACCATGTGGATAAATCCAGGCCCATGTCCCCTGTCCCTCACCTAAAGTTCTTCCTCCTGCTGTTTAAATCACAGAATCACGGAATGGTTTGGGTGGGAAAGGACCTTAAAGCCCACCCAGTCCCACCCCCTGCCATGGGCAGGGACACCTTCCACTAGACCAGGTTGCTCCAAGCCTCATCCAGCCTGGCCTTGGACACTCCCAGGGATGGGGCATCCACAGCTTCTCTGGGCAACCTGTCCCAGTGCCTCACCAGTGGCTTCACCAAAGCCATACTTGGCTTTGGGGCTTGCTCTCATAGTGGTGATTTCAGCTTTATTACATCTTTTCTGACTTGACATTCCGCGGCACGTTCTGGACTAAGCAGTTGGATTTAGGTGGTTCAGCCCCATGTGAATGGTTAAGACGGCGTGTGAAGAGGGTGAGGAGCAGGACTGTCCGTCAGAGCTTCTCTGGGTTTGCCCAGCCTCCAGCTCCTTGCTCAGCCTTAGTCACGGTGTTTGCTCCGAGCTACGCTGCTGCTGCGTTTCTGTTTCAAAGCCCAGACCGCTCATTAAAAGTATTGTGACGCGCTAAGTAATGGGTAATTGAAAAGTAAACCAGAAAAACCTCAAGCAATAACACTCGTGGGTGCCCTTCTTGGACTAGCTGGGAGAGTCAACGAGGAGCTTGTGTGGGGTGCCAGGGCAGCAGGCTTCCTCGAGGGAAGCTGGTGTTGGATGGATAGTTCGGAAGCAAATTATTTGCAGCATTAAAGCTGTGGGAAACTTAGTTT